GGCCACGCAGCGCGCTCGGTGCCGGTCACCCGGGGATGAAACCTCCCGGCTCTCCCGGGGACTGACTTCTTTCCTCTCTTTGTGTTTATTGAAACTCCTCCCCGTGGCGTCAGGTTTTCCTGAAGGAAGCTCTTGAGCAGAAGCTGGAGAAGGATCGGGAAGAGGAGTTGAGGAAAGCAGCTATAGTCATCCGGGCCCACGTCTTGGGCTACATGGCAAGGTCAGTGCTGCGGGCTGCCCCACCATCCCTGTGCTTGCGTGCCTGGGTTGCCCCGACCCCCTGCTTTGCTTTCTGCCCCCCGCCGCATCCCTCCCTTCTTCCCTCCTGTACTCTAAGGGAGAGCTGCAGTAACTGCCTTCCCTGCCAGCATCAGTTCTGCCAAAACCTTTCTGCACCTTTGTCACCCCTTCTTCAATTCTGTGCATGCTTGCACCTTCCCTCAACGCTGCTTCTGCAGGGACCTCTGTACCCATTGCTTGCCTCCGATGACACCTTTTCCTTGCCTTCAGGGCTCTCCTGGCTGGGCCCACTTACACTTTGGGTCCCCTCCTTACCCCCCTCCCCCCCCGGCCTGTCAAGTCTATTTTTTGCTCCCCCTACAAATTGCTTCTTCCTCACTTGCAGCTCTGCCTTTGCTCACCCTCTTTCCTCACCCTGCCTGTTTGCCTCGTGATCTCCTTCTCCTTTTAATTAACTCTTCAGAATTGGTTTTTGGCCAGCTTTGCACCAGTAATCTCTTGCCGCTCCCTTTTGCACCTGACCAGGGGAGGGTTGGGAGAACCAACTGCAGACAAAACTGCCCCTCCTCTGCCCCTCGCAGTCAGTGTAACAGCTGAGTCCTTAATGGCTGTGGCATGCACACTTAATCCCAGTAAGATGCTCTTTCCTGGCTGGTCTCTGCTCCAGACACCTGTCAGTCAGGGGTGTGAGGAGGTGAAATCCCTGGCCAGCAGAGCTGTTCCAGCAGGCACTCTTCTTAGAGCTCTAGGTACACCAGGTAGCTCATTTTGCATTGGGCAGTGTGTGCAAGGGTTGTACCCTGCCTTGCCAATGTGGAATATCAGAAAAATACGCATTTGGTCTCGGGGGCTTTTATTCATTTTTTCATTTCCCTCTAGGAAGACAAATGTGTTAGCTCTATTGTTTGTACATGAGCTCGCAAGTTCTTTGTGTCAGGGCTTCTGCTCTATTTTACTTTGTGTCTAGCATTTGGAGAGAGGGGTAGGGATTAGCACAGGAAAATTGATTTTTCTGGGAAACATCACTGCAGGCAAACTGGATTACTGCTTTTCTGAGTTCGTGGGAAGGTAGCTTGCTGCCCTGCAGGGCTGTGATGGAGACAGTGTTGCAGTAGTGTTCTCTTGGCTAGAAATCTTATGGTCCTCCAGTCTCCACAGATCTGAATTCCTCGTGCCACATGTTGCTCTTTTGAGTCTCATCTTTAAGAACAAGCTGTGCTTCTGCAGCCAGAGTGGAAATCCCCACCAGCAGCTGGAGGTAACTGGACTTTGCAGGGGAGGAGAGCAGGGAGTGAGGCAAGAGCTAGGGAGGGAGACTGGAAGATTCCTCTGCAAAGAGTTTCCAGTTGCACTGTACCTGTATTGGACAGGGAGTTCATCTGGGCCAGCGGTGAACGGTCTGTGCAGAATTGGGCAGTGTGCACCGCCTTAAGCTTGATACCATTTCTGTGAGTTTTGCAAGCACAAGCGTATTTAAATTCATTCAGTCTCATGCAAAGTAGGTTGGTGAAAAAGGGTATGTATGCCACAGGAAGGATTTTACTGGCTTCTTCCCCTTTGTGAACTTGTTCTGTGAGCCTGGAGAACCAGTTGTAAGGGTAAGAACGTTTTCTTTGCTCTCATTCCCTGCAGCCTAGTGTTTCTGACTGATCATTAGACAAGACAATCAAGCCCATTTAAAGGACCCCATTTTTTGTAGCTAATCTGTGGAACTCTGAGCTGCAGGTAACAGCTTCACTGGCTAAAATATGCATAGCAGTTCCCAAGCTTGGAGGATCCATCTACGAATTTGGCTGTGTCCCTGGATTTTGCAGGGCCTTACTGGTCAGGGGAAAAGACAGTAGGAAATTATTCCATAGCCCTGTGTTCTCTAGTCCTTGGAGGCATAACTGCTAACTGCAGCTCATCGACAAAATAATTAACTAAATTCCAAATGCAGCACGGGAGCCTTACAGCTGCCCCACCTTCTCTTCTGATCTATGGTCAGGATGCCTCCCAATTCCTTGGCATGGGCTGCAGGTTGAATTTCTTTGGCCAGTGCAAGAGGGCAAGTGGAAGGCTGAACAAGGGGAATGAAATTCACGGTCTCTGTGCAGCAATTGCAGCTGAAGGGCATCTGCAAGCTTGGCTGTGGTCATGAGGAATGAGAAGCCACTTCAGCCTGGCAGAGAGCAGGCAGAGGCGGCCCGTAGCTGGGCAGGGCTTGGCACGTGTTGCACTTGAGGGAGTTTCTGGCAGATGCATTTTGTAAAAGTCAGAGTGCCCTTTTTGATGCACTTGTATCTGCCTTGGCAGAGGGTGCGTGTGCAGCTGTTCACACCCCCTGCGCAGGGCACAGGGAGGACAGGGGGAGCAGGGGTGAGGGGACTGCAGCCCAGGAGCAATTCATCTGAAACCTCCCACTTCTTACCGCCCTTTCCCTTTCCTCTTTTTTTCTCTGTGCTTCCTCCCTTTGACTTAATACTTACAGAAAAGAGCGTGACCTCTGCACACTACTGCTCTTAGCATTCCTCTCCTGATTTTCTTCACTAGGCTGACGTATCTGATGTACAGGGAGGTGGCAAGCTGTCAGCATGGGGCCCTGTTGCCATTTGAAGGTGGTTTGATTGCCAGGAAGGGGATTTTGAGGTGTGCCTTTTCCTCGGGGTTGCAGAAGGTCTGTGGGAAGGATATGTGAGAATACTGTGCTATTTCTAGAGTGCTTTCTAGGACTGTAAGACCTCGCAGGATTATTGTAGCCTGCTGGCCCAAGATCCTGTGTAACAGCCCCGTAGAATTTCCCTCTGCAAATTCTGGTTTGGAGTAAAGAATGTTTTGATTTGAATTGTATCAGTGATCATTTCC